ATACAAGAAAATGTAAATATACTGATCTGAATTAGAATATTTCTGACTGTCTGAGGCAAAATTTCCCAGATACAAATCAAATTGAATCGCACTGTGGATCGAATCGTTTCGGGACCTTGTGAATCGGAATCGAATCGATTCTAGAAATCAGTGACGATACCCAGCCCTAGTGTGTATATCTCAAAAGATGACAATGTTGGAAGGCTACAGCCAGAAGAAAGAGATTCAAGGCTGGACCAGGCAGTAACAACCAGTGTTGGGGAGTAACGGAATACATGTACCACCGTTAGGTATTTAAAATACAAAATACAAGTAACTGTATCCTGTTACAGTTACCGTTTAAAAAGGTGGTATTTAGAATACAGTTACTTTGTTGAAATAAATGGATTACATGGCGGTATTTTCCTGTTTCATATTGTTGGGGGTCAGGACTGTTTTGTTTGATCTGCTCTGTTGCAGCGTTACGGTTGCCATGGTTACAGGGTGACGCTCTCTCTGCCTTTTTGTTGTTGTGCTAAGCTAATAGGCAGAATGCTACAGGCATCTCCCTAAAGAATGTAGCCTGATGGGCAGTGTAGTCGTGCTGCAGGGAGAATGGACCCGTTATGTGTCTGTGAGCGCGAGGAGGGAGAAAAAGGAGAGTGAAAAAGTAGAGTTATCATCGAGCAGAAACGGGAGCTGGAAACATGTAAATATAATAATAACCACTGCAGCCAAGAAGAGAGCCTGACGAGCCCAGCTGTAAGTAAGCTATTAAGACTCGACTGTACACTGTGTTCGTGTTTTCCTCCGAAACAATAAGTTCCGTTGGAGCAGCCTTTCAACGCCTCTCTGTCTAAAACTTGACCCAGACAACAAAGTAAAGCTATTTTTCGGTATTAGCCAGAGGTCCCTTTACTACGGTTCGGAGCCGCAGACCTTCAGTAATCGTAATAAATCACACAACAATAGTACATTCATGTAGTTGTAAACAGCATGATAATATATTAAGTAATCCAAAATATTCAGAATACGTTACTCTCATTGAACGTAACGGAATACGTTACAAAATACATTTTGGGGCATGTAATCTGTAATCTGTAGTGGAATACATTTTAAAAGTAACCTTCCCAACACTGGTAACAACTGATTGTGGTTAAGACCTCCACACTGGAAGAAACAAAGCAAAATAATATTGATGGTTTGGGAGTCAAGGAGGCCATTTACACGAAAAGGGAAACCATCTGTGAATTGTGGAAGGGGCCTAAGGACACATTTTTCATCATCTTACAGTGCAGCCATTCCCCAAATCTCTGTGAATGGTACTCATGATCAATTATTATTAATCAATTGTCTTTGATCAGTGGTTGTTGACCAATGGTCATGATAATTTGCATATTGTTGATCAAGAAACTGACCTCAGAGCCCTTTGTTCACCAATGGTGCTAATTTCGGTCATTATGCAAACGTACTGTTTATAATGTTGGGGAAAGCTGCAGTCAGCTGGAGATTGAAGAAGTCTCTTGGATGAGTGACGAGACGTTTCTCCCACTGAAAACGCTACGTCCAGATGAACAGAATTTCATTTCCTGGATGATTGAGCATGCACTGACACATTTTGCAGATGTGGTCCGCCCCTTCCGGTTGTACCAATCTCATAAGCACCATTTTGAGATGCACCCTGGCGTGATGCTGCATTCACACCTAGAAGCAATTAAGTTAGATGGCTAATATGTATTTACATGTAAATGTGTTAATAATGTCTGTTTAAACACGTCCTGTGATTATTTTCATGTTGACTTGAAATAAAATATCTCCCTCTGCTGGCACTGCAGATTAATGCAATTTACTGCAACTTGTGCATGTGCGTCTATTTTATGTTCTGGAGAGACAAAGCGTGAACTGGACATGATGGACCGCTGTGTCTATTACACGCTTTGCAGTGATACTGGGTTGATATACATGATATGACCTCCACGAATGCCACAAGCCTGAAATATTAGCATGTTTGTTGATAAACTTAATAAATTTGTGTAATTGAGATTTTTCAACTACTGTTTTATCCTCGTGATAACTATTACCCTTTAGGACTCAATGCTAGATTATTTTCCCCTACTTTGACAACACATAAATGTAGTCAGGTGTTGCATAAAAACCATGACATGCATACCACCTTGGAATTTTTCTGCAATCATCAAGCTTAATTTTCTTCTGTGGTCTTTCAAGCCTTTTAAAATTGCTGAGCTGTATTCCTTCCTTTGCTGAATGTGCCCATTTCTGATAGGTTTATTTTGTTTTTTCAGCCTACTGATGGGTTCCTTCACTTGCTTTAACATCTCTTTGGACCTCATATTGAGATTTCGAGCAAAAAACTATCAAATACTCTGAAAAAATCCAAGTAATGCCACCCGGCACTACTCCCTAACTATTCAGCCACAGCTGAACAAAAAACAGTCCAACAGTTACAGATTAAAACACACTTTTACATGGGAAATTTATATGCTCATAAAAACTGGACCTGTATAAATTATCAACTACAATTGTCAAATTTCATATCCAATGATATTATTTCTATTTGACCTCTGTTATGATGTTGGATTTTTTGGTCTGTGATGTGTTTTTTTTTTCTCCAATTTTCACTATGACCTGTAATAGTACTGTGACATATAACTTGCACCAATGAAATGCTTGGAACCTTTGCATCTCTTCTGACGGCACCATTGTTTTGGTAAAAAGAAGCAGAATAAACTATGCTTGTTATTTAATATTAAATGTATTATATCTCTATGTGAAATGACATTGTTGCTTTGTAAGTGTGGAGGTACTTTATTTGTTACTCGAAGCTTTAAGTATGAACAAACTGCAAGTAGCTACAGACAGAGAGGAGAGGAATGGGAGGCAAAGTAATAAAAGGCTCTGACAGTGATAAATCACCACTGCCTGACTAAAACGTGCAGATTACCTGCAGAATATGACGGATCTCAGCAGCAACTATGAGACTGATGCAGAAGTAAACTCGAGCCAAAATGAGCATGCATGTAAAAATCCAATAACTTTCTTCAGATAAGTGCCACACAGTTACATTATTACACCCTTTTGTCTACAGACTACATCTTCACTGCGTCTGGTGGGAACAAAAGCATATTTCTCCCACTCTACTTTGTGCATTAAGTCCAATTTTAAGAACTTAACATTAGCATGCATTAGTGACTTGTCAATCACAAAGCACCTTCAATCATACATCATTTTACTGTCTGTTGTGTAATTGGGCCATACTTTACTTACCAGAGTTCGTCGAGATTAAGGGAGCAGTGGAATCATTTTCTTTGGGTTTTCTCTACAACCACAGGAGTTCCTGTTTTCCACTGGAGCTGATGCAGGTAAAAGACACTTTTACATAGACTTCATTTTTTAAAATGAGAGGCATGCTTTTTCTTTATATAAAGACTATGGCTGTGCTCTGACCTTGTCAGGAATTCTGTTACCACTGAAGTTTGCCTTCAAGTAAGAAAAAATCTTGACTTCACAATGAACCGCAGTGGTATATTAGATGTCTCAGAATACCGTCTGTTACATTGTTTACAGACAAGTTTTTCTGTGGGACTGAAAACAAGCCTTCACTGATTGATGATGGCTCTCTTACAGCCAGAGCAGATCTTTACTGAGTTACGTTAGAGTACCTGTTTCATATTTAAATCAGAAATGCAGGGTAACTGTCTTTTTTGAATGTTGAAGTTTAATCAGTTAAGGGAAACATGTAATAAGAAATAAGCAATCTATGTTGGTCAACTATTAGTGAGGTATTTCAGTATAATTTTGAAAGAATTAGCAATTTTGAATACAGATGCAGATTGTGGGGGACAAAAAAAGCCACTGTGAATGGATCTAAAATCAGATCCTGATGGAAATGAACTGAATAGGACCTGATCTGATCTGAGTCTTTTTAACCCTGTCCCACTGTGCAAGTGTGACCAGTAACTTTACAGCTTTGCTTTAATGCTCAGCTTTCTCCTCACTACAACAGATCAGTGCAGTATTTACATGACTGTGGACACCATCCCAGTCCAGCTGTCAATCTCATGTTCCATTCAACCCATACTAATAAATGCCACTTGAACTTCTCCACCTGGGGCAGTAACATCCCTAACCCGGAGTCGCACCCACCCTTTTCTGAAAATCCAATAGGTCCCAGAATAGAACCCTGTGAGACGCCTTGAGTTAGCTCAGGAGAAGATGTCGATCCTCCATGTAATCACTTCTGGAAGACAGACTTTGTTTTTCATCATGACGGTGATCCTAAACACACTGCCGGTGGAGTGAAAGACACACAACTGAACACCATCACTCATGCACTGCCCTAATCATTGTGTAAGTGTGGGATCATCTCGACAGAGAACAGAAAACAAGACAGCTCCAAAGAACTGTTCTTCAAGAAGCCTGGAGAACTGTTCCTGCTTAAAGAAATCACCAGAAAGCTTGCTCAAGACAGTTCCGGCTTTTGATGTATATTTGCAGATGTTTTAGAGTACTGCATCTATTATAAAGAAATGAAGGTGACTCGAAGCTTTTGCACTGTACTGTCCATGTGTTGGATATGAAGTCATAGCCATTGTTCTAATATTCTCCGGGGAAGTGTAATGTCCTATGAAATGAGGAAACTGTGTGTGTGTGTGTGTGTGTGTGTGTGTGTGTGTGTGTGTGTGTGTGTGTGTGTGT